TTTTTTTTTTTTTGTAGAGATGAGGTCTCGTCAAGTTGCCCAGGCTGGTCTCGAACCCGTGGGCTCAGGCAATCCTCTCACCTCGGCCATTACAGGTGTGAGCCACTGCGCCCAGCCTCAAATCTAAAATTTAAACCAAGAAACATGCCTCCGCTCCCCTGTTCTCCCACCGGCTGCAGGTCCATCCCCCCGTACCGTGGTCACGGTGGAAAGCTACTCAACTGGAAACTTCTCAGAACATGGCTCAGGGCGGGGACAGGCTTATCAGGACCTTTCCTGTTTGGGGTCAGGGTCATGGGTGACACCAGGGGCTGATAAGGCAGACGGCCGAGGGCTTGTGTGGTATATAAGGAGCAGCTCCTTGGCTGCTGGGCACCTTCCTCCTGTCGGGACTTCTCCCTCACGTCGGAGTCCGGGAAGCACCATGAAGTGGCTGCTGCTGCTTGGGCTGGTGGCACTCGCAGAGTGCACCATCATCAAGTGAGTTGGGGTGACCCGCATGCACACGGCCTCCCAAGGCAACGTCCTGGCCCCTGGCTGCCTCTCGCAGCCCCTTCCTTCCTCCCATCTTTCTCTTCCTTTTTTTGAGCTGGAGTCTCCCCTCGTTGCCCAGGCTGGAGTGCCGTGTCACGATCACGGCTCACTGCAGCCTCCACCTCCGGGACTCAGGCGATCCTCCCACCTCGGCCTCCCGAGCAGCTGGCACGATCGGTGTGCACCACCACGCCTGGCTAATCTTTGTGTTTTTTCCTAGAGACAGGGTCTCTCTTTGTTGCCCAGGTTGGCCTGAACTCCTGGCCTCAAGTGATCCTCCCACCTCAGCCTCCCAAAGTGCTGGGATGGCAGGCGTGACCCACCGTGCCCAGCCCCTCATCTCTCTCTTCCTCCCTTCCTCCTGCAGGCAGCTCCTGTCTCTCTGACTGTCTCACAGTCCTCATGTCCCGCCTCCCTCCGACCTTTCAGGGAGGCAGCGCTGCAGACTCGGCCCGAGTCCGGCCTGGGTTGGGCTCCCAGCCCTCTCACTCGGCAGCAATCTCTTCACTCCTTTGCATCATCAGGCCCCCAGAATTGGAGCTTCCCCTCTCTTCCCTCCTTCTTTTCCTCCTGGACCGGCTTCCTTTCCCTTCTGGGGCTCCCACAGCGCCCCGTGTGCAGAAGCCTTGCCTGATGACTCCTCCTCGCCCAAACCGTAGGGTCCCCCTCATCAAAAAGAAGTCCCTGAGGAAGACTCTGACTGAGCACGGCCAGCTGGAGGACTTCCTGAAGAAGCACCCCTTCAACCCAGCCACCAAGTACTTCCCCCAGAATGACGCCACCACGCTGGCCACCCAGCCCCTGGTGAACTATATGGATGTGAGTTCCCTGGGCAGGCGGCGGGGCAGCTCTGAGGCCTTGGCTGGTGGGAGAGAGGGCGTCCCAGGGCCTTGGAGGATGGGCCAGACCTCCCCGGGGGTCTCCGGAAAGCTCCGTCAGAGGTGTTGCTCTCCTTCGTTCATTCGTGCATTCATTCATTCATTCATTCATCTGTTCATTCGCTCCATGTTTATTTCTACTGAGCACCTTGTTATGTGTTGGGGCCTGTCCTGAATGAACCAGGGGAAAAGAGCCGTGAACGGCTCTGAGCTCGCAGTCAAGGAGAGAAAGAACAATCAAGAAGCCTCTGGCCGGGCACAGTGGCTCACACCTGTAATCTCAGCATTTTGGGAGGCTGAGACCAGAGGATTGCTTGAGCCCAGGAGTTTGAGACCAGCCTGGGTGGCATAGTGAGACCCTGTCTCTATAAAAAAACCAAAAGAAATGAGCCCAGTGTGGTGGCATGTGCCTGTAGTCTCAACTACTCAGGAGGCTGAGGCAGAAGGATCCCCTGAGCTCGGAAGGCTGAGGCTGCAGCGAGCTGTGATGGTGCCCCTGCATCCAGTCTGGGCGACAGAGAGAGACCCTGACTTAAAAAAAGCAGCAGCAGCCCCACGAAGCAATGAAAGGAACCACCAAGACAAGGACTGCAGAGCAAAGGTGTCATGCTGAGAGTCTGACTTGTGGCCCCTCTTGAGCCATGCAGGAAGAGCAGACTTTTCCAAGAGAAGGGAGAGATTTGCAGAAAGCCAGGGGGCTTGTTGCAAACCCTGTAGCAGGAGGAAGCAGAGTGGCATTTGAAGAAAGAAGCCCAGAGAGCAGGGAAGGCAGGCAGGGAGGGAGGGCAAGGCGGAGTCAAGTCCAAGGGGTTAGAGACAGGGAGGCCAGAGAGGCCAGGAGCAGGGCGGACTGAATCCTAATGGCCGCCGGTTAACTAGGATCAGCTCTGAATCTCAGGACCAACACTCCACCTCTTTTTTTTTTCTAAGTCAGAGTCTCACTCTTTCACCCAGGCTGGAGTGCCATGGCACACTCATGGCCACAGCAGTCTCAACCTGCTGGGCTCATGTGATCCCCCCATCTCAGCTTTCCAGGTAGCTGGAACCACAGGCATGTGCCACCACACCCAGCTAATTTTTTTTTTTTTTTGGTAGAGATGAGATCTTGCCCTGTTGCTCGGGCTGGTCTCAAAACCCTGAGCTCAGACAATCTTCTCGCTCTGCCTCCCAAAGTGCTGGGATTACAGGTGTGAGCCACTGTGCCTGGTTTACTCTGACTCTTTTTTTGGAGACCAATGGCGTGCTCTGCCCTTCCACAGATACTGTATGTCCCCTCTGCGAAGGGCACAAAGCAGTGTCGCCTTAGCTAAGAGCATGGCCTCTGAAATCCACCAGACCTGGTGCAAATGTGGGTCCTAGTGCTTCCAAGCCATGCGAACTTGGGCAAGCCATCTCACTGCTCTGAGCTTCAGTTTCCTGGTCTATAAAACAGGACCCTAGTATCTTCCACCAGAGGGCTGTTGCTGGCAACTAGCATAATAAAGTTGTTTGGTGTGTTTAGCACAGAGCCTGGCTGGCCCTTGCTAAGAGACTTAGGTGGCCTATTGGTTTATATTAACAAATAGTGAGCCGGGCGTGGTGGCTCACGCCTGTAATCCCAGCACTTTGGGAGGCAGAGGTGAGAGGATTGCCTAAGCCCAGGGGTTCGAGACCAGCCTGGACAAAGTAACGAGACCTCGTCTTTACAATAAGTTAAAAAAGTGGTCGGGCATGGTGGCACATGCCTGTAGTTCCAGCTGCTTGGAAGGTTGAGGTGGGAGGATCGCCTGAGCCCAGGAGGTCGCGGTGGCCATAAGCGTGCCACTGCACTCTAGAGAGAGTGAGAGAGAGAGAGAGAGAGAGAGAGAGAGAGAGAGAGAGAGAGAGAGAGGACTTGTTTATCTCCCGATCCACAACTTAATGAACACACAGTTAAGTCTTGACACTGCTGGGCGCTAGAAGTTTCCACCCTGTTCTCTGAGGACGTGCACTCTCTAGGATGGCAAGACTGAGCACGCAAGGCAGTGGCTGAAGAGGGGCGAGCGGATTGTCATTAGAGGCTCCGGAGGGAACGAGCAGAGGGTCATCAGGGGAGCAATCAGGGAAGACTTCAGAAGGGAGACCGGGGCGGGGCTTGCCAGGGTGAATGCAGTGGACGGGGAGAAAGACAAGAACCGTGAAGGGAAAGTGGGGTGGGGGGCTGAGGAGGCCACTCAGAGATGGTCCCAGGGAGGCCTGGGTGGGGAGGCCTGGGTGGGGAGGCCGCGATCCGTGAACCGCGCTGTCCCGGCCCCGTTAGATGGAGTACTTTGGCACCATCGGCATCGGAACACCCCCCCAGGAGTTCACCGTCATCTTCGACACCGGCTCCTCCAACCTGTGGGTGCCCTCGGTCTACTGTTCCAGCCCTGCCTGCTGTGAGTGCCCGCCTGCCCCAGCCAGCACCGTCCTGCTCCCCAGCCCCAGCTGACCCTGGGGAGCCCTGGACTCACGGGCGTCAAGCAAGTCCCCCTTCAAGCCCGTGGGAGTCACGCAACAGGCACTTATGGAGCACCTACTGTGTGCCAAGCACTGGGCTCAGGTGCTCCGGGGGATACAGGGATGCGTGAGATGTGGTTCCCACCTGTGAGGAGTTTACAGTCAAGGGCAGAGAGAAGCTCTCTCCTAAATAGCCACAGCTTGGGGGAGGAAGTGTGTGGGGCTCAAAGCAAGATGGGCTCAAGGCTCCAGGACAAGAGTCTAGCACAAGGCTGGGTATGGTGACTCACGCCTGTCATCTCAGCACTTTGGGAGGTGGGAGGATTGCTTGGGCCCAGGAGTTCAAGACCAGCCTGGGCAACATAGCAAGACCACGTCTCTACAAAAAGATAAAAATAAAAAATTAGTCAGGCATTGTGGTACATGTCCGCAGTCCCAGCTAGTTGAGAGGCTAAGGCAGAAGGATCACCTGAACCAGGAGTTTGAGGCTGCAGTGAGCTATGATCACACCCCTGCACTCCAGCCTGGGTGACAGAGTGAGACTATTTCTTTAAAAAATTTTTTAAAGAGTTCAGCGTGAGAAAATGGCTCAAAAGTCTGGCTAGATCGTGCTAGAAATGAGTGATGAGCTCATTTAAGAGACACTCACTGACTTGCTAATGAGGGAGCCCATCATGGAAAGTCATGGTCAATGCCACAGTCCTTCCATGTCTGGGTTTTCCAGTGTGTTTTCAGCCAGAGCAGGTGCCTGTGGAATGGTACAGGTCACAGCGGGGGCACCGGCTGTCGGGTGTGAAGGCACTCATCACCGGGCAGCTCTGTCAGCGGGCCTGCTGCCATCTGTGATGGCTGGGGGAGATCCCCAGGAGGGGTTAGCTGGGGACCTTCCATCAGTGGCATGGTCCCAGCTGGTCCAACAAGATGGAAATAGAGCCTGGGGTCTCTTCGGCTCCAAATGGCCTGGAGGAAAGGTCGCTACTCTCCGGCAGACCGTCCCCCACCCCATCACTAGATCCCAGGTGCCCCCTCCCGGGGAGGTGGCCCAGCCCACAACCGTGCCCAGCTTCTGGAGGCTGATGGTGTCAGCTTCTTGAG